GTTCAAAATCCTGGAAAAGCCCCTCTTATAGTGGCTTGTAACATCTCTTGTCTCTCATTATGAGAAAACGAACGGAATTCCCATTTGCTACCCGATAATTTCTCATGCAATTCAATTCACACTTAGCTGAATACATTCATAATAGATTCTAAAATAAAGCCCTGTCAATTTATAGGGTAACACAATACCCCATTGTCCCCATTCACACACACATTTCCTTCTAAACATACAATATGATATTGGAGTATTATATCTCATGTGGAAGGAATTAATCAATTTTATATTTCAATAAATAAACAACATGAAGATGTTTATATATCCTCACCTGCTAAATAATGAAAAAACCTTCGTTTAGATTTTTAAATATAATAAATTTACTTTTCAGTGCATAATTCCGAAACTCAAATTCGGAAAATTAAAAATGGTATATGGAACTTTATGTGGTTATCGGTGTAGGCGTATGATATAACTGCAGCCAAAGGATAAATCCGATTTTTTCAATTGGCAAATTGGAAAAAATTTAATGGATTTTCTTCTTAAAATTATCGGTATTACCGCATTTGTATAAACAAAATATAGATAAATCCTGTGCTACCAATCAATCATTTTTCTCCTCTCGATGTGTGATAAATGCCATTGATACAAACAGATGGTTCGCTTTGTTTAAGGATTTATATTAAATTCGATTATGGAACAATATTGAAACGATGGTTCGCTTTATTAGAACTTTTTTTTTTGGTTTATGTGTGTCGATAATTATATTTACTTTAATGCAACTTGTGTATTTAAAAAGTTTTATTTTAATTAAAACAAGAAATTATATAGGTATATGTTTCTATGACAAAGCTGACTCAAATACTAAAAATCTATACTGCAGCAAGCCTATGTTTATATAATAATAAATGCTGGATAAGCGAAAGCTTGCTAAAACTCCTTATTTTAATAATACGTCGTCAGAAGTGGCCTTATAATTCCTCCCTCACTAAGTTTGAGAAAATTGGGGATGATTTTCGAAAGGTTTCAATTCTATGCCCACTTTTACATCAGTTTGATTTTTTTTTACAATAATTATCGAATTCCTTAAGTTAGTTGATTAGAATTTTCTAAATCTTCTCTTATAGTTTCCAAATTTATTTCTGTTAATTGTAAAAGTTCGATATTTTGTATCAGCTTTTCGTCAATATTGATTGATGGTAGTTTTAGTTTCAAATTGATTAGGTATGTCTGGTTTTTGGGAATCATAATTATTTCCTTGAATTTTAACTTTACAAATTGAGGGTAAAATCATTGAAATGTTATACTTATTACTTCAACACTATGTTGGCTGGGATATTGAAAGTGAATGCTTTACCTTGTAAAAGAGTTAATTTTGTTGACTCTATGCAATCTTTCATATTAGTTAAATTTACACGATGATAATTGGTTATTATGTAACTAGTTCCTTGGTAGACTTAAAAGTCTACCAACCTAACGCAAAGGATTTGTTATTTCTTCGATCTTATATTGAGCATTGATGAGTAGCGGTAGTACTGTGAGAAATGCGAAGATTATCTTCATATTTTATTCCTGAAAATTACGATCTTCTTTTAATATCCTTGGGATGTCTTAGATTTTTGAATATAGCTTTCTTATACTTAGGTTGCATTTTTAAAGCTTATTTTTGCGGTGTACTTATAAGTTGTGGTGTAGCTTCAGGTATTTTTGGGTCATTTTCATTCAATTTATATATATATATATATATATATAGCATTTAATTTTGAGTTTATTTTTTCATTAAGTTCCTTGAATGTTTGAGCAAGCTCATAATCAGTTTGTAGCTGATTTAGGTGTTTTTCAAAGTTTAATTAATAATTATTGACGTTTTCTTTTAGTATCTGAAAAGGGGTGTAATCATGTGCTGAATGAATATTGTTGTTATAGTTTAAAACTACTATATCAATCACTTCTTGAATTGTTTTAGTACGATGGTCAATTCGTAAAGCTATTATGCTTTCTTTTATCGTCAAATGAAATCTTTCAATGGGCAAGTTTGAATTTGGATTGTACGGTGTAGTAAAATACACTTCAATCCTATAGGTTTTTCAAAGGTCTTGTATTAGATTACTCATGAAAGTTTGTGCATTATCAGTGCTAATTTTACTTGGTGTACCATGAATTTGATTCAGGGGCGAATACAGGCCTTTTGAGAGGGAGATTGGGTTAGTTTTGGCACGCATCGTGCAAGATGCGGTTTTTCGAAGGAATGGCCCATAAAAATATGGAGATGGGGGAACTATTTAGGAGAATAAGGTGATTTTAAATAGGTAGATACAGGGTGTTTTTTTTTTATTTATTGACACACCACCTACAGCCTTTACCTTTACAGATAAAAGAAAGGTGTAAATATAAAAGTTGTACAGTTTTGGCTAAATTTTTAGAAACCATGGTCAGAAACAAAATTTGAAAGTCAGGAATGTGAAATTTTGCATGCTTCCAGCTTTTTTCAAATAGGATGCTCTATATTTCATCCTATATTCTTGAAGACCACAATGCTCCGATTCCAAAATAATTTAATTTGTCTATATTTGATTGAACAGTCTCTCATATATTCGACTCCAAAAATTGTAAAAATACTATCCTACTACTGATTTTGTGAACCATTCTACCTATAAAGGTGAAAGCTGCAGGTGAAATTTAAGATATGTACTTGGTTTCTCTGATAGTATTTTTAGAATTTTTAGAACCAAATATGTCGGAGACGGCTCAACCAAATATAGACAAACTATATAGTTTTGGAATTGGGAAATTGTGCTCTTCAAGAATATAGAACCAAATATAAGGCATCCCATTTGAAAAAAGCTGAAAGCTTGCAACATTTCACATTTCTGACATTCAATTCTTGTTTCTGACCATAGATTCTAAAAATTTAGCCAATACTGTACAACTTTTGTATTTACACCTTTCATCTACTTGTAAAGGTGAAGGCTATAGGAGGGGTGTCAATATATAAAAAAACACCCTTTCCTTGAACAATAACTCATTATATAAAGTAAGAATTTGTTAGATTATCCACTTTTTGTTAATTTGCCTTTCAACAGGAATTAGTAACGCTACTTTACCCAAACTAGTAACATAATGTGACAAGATATTCAAGTACAAACGAGTGGATTGTTGCGGAATTTATGGGTGGACCTCTGTCATCTATTCATTAATACGTTGTTCAAATACGATACTAACCTGACTCACTCTAATGTCAGTTAATCTCATTATTTCAAAAACTACAAGTTTCAGGTGAGTGTCTTATTTGAATAGTTCAACAGTATATTGGTAAGTAGATGGCTGCGGAACTCGCTGCGCTCGTCCCGCAGTGGTCCACCCATAAGTTCCGCAACAATCCATTTATTTGTACTTGAACAATAGCTTATTATATAAAGTCAGAATTTGTAGGATTATCCACTTTTTGTCAATTGGCTTTTTAGCAGGAGTTAGTAATGCTTCTTTACAAAACTAGTAATATATTGTGATAAGTTATTCAAGTTAATTTTGAACCAGGGTCTTTGATAGAAAAGAGCCATTGTAATGGTTTATGGTCAGCCACTATTGTAAAAATTACAAAGGTTGAAAGCTGTAATGAATGCTTTGTGATAAATCACTTTGACATTTTTCTTTAAACAATTCGTTAAAGGTTTTGTGATTTTTACAAAATTCTTTATAAATTTCCTATAATAACCTACGAGGCCAAGAAATCAATTTATTTCTTTCGGAGTTTTGGGTATTCTAAAATTTTTGACTGCCTCTATTTTTCTAGGGTTTGGTTTGACACCTTCTGGAGTTATGATGTGTCCTAGAATACTTTTCTGTAAAAATTCCGATTTGTCTAACTTTATTTTCATATTGAAAGACATTAATCGTTCGAATACTAGTTTTAAAGAGGTTATGTGTTCTTGTAGGCTGGTTAAATAGATAATGATATTATCCATATATACTAGACAGACTTTCCTTAATAATCCTCGTAAAGCATTATCCATTGCTCGTTGGAATGTAGCAGGAGCATTTTTTAACCCGAAAGGCATAAGTGTGTATTCGTAATGTCCATGGTCTACATTGAATGCTGTTTTAAAAATACTTTTTGGGTCCATTTCAATCTGGTGAAACCCATTAGCTAAATCCAAAGTTGCGAAATATTGACAACTAGTTTATCTAATAAATCTGCGATATTTGGTATTAGATATTTAACTCGTTTGATATTGACTAGAATGACTAGTTGGCTTTTGTTGAGAATTGATGTTCTCAACAACTGGAAAAAGGTTCAAGGTACATATTTGCTACATAGATGCGTTACAATTCGGAGGATTATTGTTCATTTACTTTAAATTGTTTTACTGATTTGAAACTTTTCAATTTATAAAATAACTAGAAAATTGTACAAAATAGCCCCACCTGACTATAAAAGGTTTTGCTTTCACACAAAAAACCAAATGAGAAAATTTTATATTGAAAACTTCCATAAATCACCTCAATGTTTCAGCCAACAAAACAAAGAAGATAATGATTACAAATGAAAATAGACAAACAATTTTCAGTTTCCAGACCCAGAAATATTTACAGCAATTCTAAACAATACCCTACTATTCCAAAAAGGTAAATTAATTTCTCCTGCACCACATACCTACATCACTTGCTCTAATATAAAGCCAGCGACATGTAAAGTTAATTAGAGCAACATGACAATGTGCACATTCATCCTTCAATGTATCAAAAATAATTTTGGGATAATATTATAATAATATATAATCATAACTTTAATTGTTCTTTTGAAAAAAATACATCAATATTTACACTAGTTGATAAGAATTGATAATAGAAAAAACGCGTGTAGGTAATTCAATCTTTTTAAACACTATACAAATAAAAAAATAACTTGAAACCCTGAATATCGTGTATCGTGAGAAACCTTACTTATTGATCATTAAAATATAGCATTACTTTGTTAGTATTAACGAATTCTTCGTCGAGACAAAATGGACGATAATAGTGCTATTGTAATTGGGGGTGGATTGGCAAGTAAATAAAATACTCTACAAGAAGTTTACTAATAGGTACCTTAAATTGTTCCAGGTTGGTTCATTATGCGCCTGTTTACTAGCAGAGAGAGGCTACAAAGTCACATTGTATGAGAAAAGAGAAGGTAGGTGGGTAAACCAAAAAAACCCTCAACTAAAAACTTTATATTGCAGACATTAGAAAACTTACAGCTAGCAAAGGCCGGTCGATAAACTTAGCATTATCGCACCGAGGCAGGAAAGCATTGAGATTGATAGGGCTTGAAGATGAAGTGCTCAAAAATGCAATTCCAATGTCGGGGAGATTGTTGCACAGCGAAAAAGGTGACACTGAATCGGTTAAGTACGATCCTGTATCGAATCAGGTAAGGATTTTAGTTGTAAATTTACGCTTATTGTCAAGGTCAGTTTTGTTATCTCGTATTGAATGTGGTTCTCCATTTTCAAGTTTCGACTCTCTTCTATTGAGGCTCTATCTTATGCCTTTGGAACAATTGTCTTGTTTTATGAAACTTTGAGTCGTTATTTCTGCCTCAAAATTCTATAGTTGCAAAGGTTCTTCATTCTGAAACTTTAACTCTACACTAGAAACTTTTATCTTGATTGATGATTTTTCCTAAATAGGTACCTACCTTTCCTATATTTATTTCTTATTTCTTCCTTTTCAACTTTTGCCTATTCCAGGATTTCGAATTCATGTTTTTTTCAAAAGGATTTCAACACAACTAGAGTCTCTGGAATACAAAAATAATGAAAATTCAAAAGCATGGAATATATTTTCAAGTTTACCATTAATGCAACACTACTAATTCTGTTGATTTCCATTTTCACCCAAAAGATCTGATTCTTTTTTTTAGGAATATTCAGTCAATTTCATACTAATATTTGTGATTTAGGAATTTATTTAAATATATAAAGTAAATTATATACATTATAAGCTTATTGATCATAATTCTTTCAACAAGTCCACCAACACAAAACCTTTGATTTCAAATATTAATACAAATCAAATATTTTGTTGAGATGAAAAAAAAAAGCTCCTGCATTTTCTCAACTATCAATCCGTGCCCTGTCAAAAACCATAAACATACATCTAAAACCGTCGATCCGCATTTTCCAGCTTTTAAATTAAATTTAGATATTTTCATTTCAACTTTTTAAAAGGTTTTTTTAATCAACTTGATGGCAAAGCAGTAAGGGTAAATGATTTTGGATGTTTGGGATCGTAAAAAGAGCTTTGAAGGTGGAAAATAGATTGGTTGAGGGATGTAATTTGGTTTTATAATTATTTAGTTGTCAGCGGAAAGAAAATTGACAAAATCTTGTATACAATAATTGGAAAGTTTATTCGAGAAATTGGGCATATGTAGCAGGAGCATTTTTTTACCCGAAGGGCATACGTGTATATTCGTAATGTCCATGGTCTACATCGAATGCTGTTTTAGGAATACTTTTTGGGTCCATTTGAATCTGGTGAAACCCACTGGCTAAATCCAAGGTCGTAAAATATTAACAACGTCCTAGTTTATTTAATATATCTGCGATATTTGGTATTTGGATATTTATGCCTCCTAAGGGTAAATGATTTTAGATGTTTCGGATCGTAAAAAAAGCTTCAAAGGTAGAAAATGGATTGGTTGAGAGGTGTAATTTGATTTTATAATTATTTTATTGTCAGCGAGAAAAAAATTGTCAAAATCACAAACCTTTTCATTTAGGCTAGTTTTAGTCAAAAGTAAATTTCTATCAGTATTTAGAATTTAATTTATCAATGAAAGTTCATTGCAATTTCTCGTTTTTGAACCTGGTAAACCGGGTTCTCCTCTAAGTCCAGGTTGTCCAGGATATCCTTTATCTCCCTTCTCACCTTCTCTACCAAGTAAATCTGTATTATTTAAATACAGGGTTTCCTTCTGAGCCTGTGTTTGACATAAAGTCAATTAATCGTGAAAGTTTGAAGACCCTTTGATTGCTGCAGTGTTGGCATCAGTAACCGAAGTAACTGTTCCGATGGTGGAATGTCCAAGTCTAAACATAACCCTACTTTGTCCTGAAATCAAAACACAACAACAAAAATAAATCCAATTTGACCTGAGCAGGCTCAGAGTTCTGCAAAGGTTCGTGAGATTCAAAACTTAACAAGGGATTTGGATGGGATCAAGGATGATGCAGCATGTTAAACAAAAACGTCGTTTCATAGTTGGAAAAAATGAAAGCGCCAATGGTGTGCAGACAGTACCGAAATTTGTATCGCTTCATGTCTCTAGGCTTCAACCTAATACGAAGCCTGAAGAACTCAAACAAATATTAACTGTTAATTTTCTCTCATGTATCAATGCATCCGGAAATATATGCATCCATGATAGTCACTATCAGAAGTAACCCAGCTAAAGGATGTATGGAAAAGGTATGTTTCGCCTAGCGGTGCAAGGATGATACACACCTACAGGATTGCTTATTGGCCTCGTTTTTGGTAATCGTCAACATAAGGTAGGTGCGCTAAATATTGCCATTGTTCCTAATATGGTCACTCCTCGTTACTCAGCTAGTATCGATGTTGCATGTAGGTGGCAGCAGTAGCAGGTACCTACTTTGATTTGTCAGCAATTTGTTATCTATTCGGCGCTTTAGTCTATGCTAAACGTCAGACGTCAGGAGCAAGACATTTGTTTTTCCTGTCCGGCGCTATAAGAAAATTAACTTTTCACGTTAACCCCACGCAATCCTAATTCACATTTACTGGATTTTTGTTATTAAGTACAGAGAAGTACACTCCAGTGGCTCTTGTTTTATGAATTGCATGAATTATTTCAAGTGAATTTCTAGGTTAGAGATTTTTTTTTCTGGACGACATTTGTTCCTAATATTGCCATCACTAATAATGTGCTTGTGCCTAGTTTGCTTTCGATATGCTCACGAAGCTTGTGTAGGCCTAACTAAGAATGACAAAGAAAACTCTATCTGTCCTCAATGTTCTTGAGTTTAAATTTTATTGTCAGAGAATTTTGTTATTTTTATCTTTTGTTCCTTTGTTCCTAATATTGACATAAGGTGGCAATAATAGGGAGAGCTATGATCCTAATATTGCCATTCTCAACTTCAACTAAAACGTTATATATAACGTAAAATAAAATATATGATTTAAACAATGCATTTCTTTACTCGTACCCAGATTTGTATTCCTTAATTTAATAAAAGTATAGGATTTAATCACTACCAAACGTTAAGGTGGCAATGTGCTTATTGGTGTGTCATCATTTCCGAAGTCATAACTTAGTCGTCAGCTATTTAAACAGCCTACTTCAAGGCGAGAAATAACATGCTGCCTACGTCACAACTGGTGATTTGTCATGGGAGGGAAGGGGGAGATTTGTTCCACACAGGCCTTATGAGGATATGCTATCTACTAGTAGTGTGTATCATCCTTGCTAGCAGTGCAGTAGTCACCCGGTTTTTCATGAAAAGCGAAGATCCTCAAAAACTATTAGAAATTAAATACAATAAGTCTTCCTTTTTCATATTGTTGTATCTAGGATAATAGAGTATCTCCCCGGTCAATTAAACCCAATCGTCTTCCAAAAAAGGTCCATGGGCTTCAGGAAAATCATTGATCACGTTACATTTAAATAACATTCCGCTGGGAGTTGAATTATTAATTCGTACGTACAAGGAGCCTAAACCCATGGAAGGTCAATGTCAACGACAGTTCACTGATAATTATTGTAATTAGCGATCCATATGTCGGATCTGAGGTTAGCAGGAAATGAGAATCAAAACTAGAGCCAAGTACAAAAATAGGAAAATGTATTTAAAATAAAGCTTAACACAAATACTTTTCAGATATGGGCATGGGCACTTATAATTATCACAGGTCTAAAGGCACTATTAATACTGACTAACTAACGCGGATCATTCTTGGTCTGTAGACTACCCTTTCATCTCCAAAACCATTATTTTTTATTAATCAAGCGACCATGATGCGTGATCGCTAATTACATAATTACCAGTGAACTGTCGTTGACATTGACCTTCCATGGATTTAAGCTCCTTGTACGTACGAATTAATATGCATATATTCCACTAAGTATGCTCCATGATATTTATGATAAATATTTTGATGATGTTCAAGATATTCTGGATAATGGTTGCGGTATTTTCATATTAGGAGATATGAACATATACCTAATTTTGAGACTAATAATAATAATTGTGATAAGAAGATTTCAGTAAGAAAAATTCCTAATCCTTATAACTTACAATACAATTATGTAACCAACCATATGGGCAGAAAACTAGATCGTGTACTCTCCAATGTGAATGTTGTCCATGTTTGGTCTGTGCTATGAGTTCCATCAGTGTTATGTATCATCTGGTATTTCCAAGGCTTACACGTATAATTAAGGGTAACTTTTTTCTGTTATACAGATTACTTCAATCCAGTGATTGGTCCACAAAATCAACATTTACACCAATTGTCACTGGAGCAAAATATTAAAAATGATCCTAACAGTTTCTGGGGTTTAATACGCTCAGAAAACAAAAAACACGAGTATACCTAATGAACGAGGGGTTTTATCAGACAACTGCAGACATTGTCAATCCTTTGCATGCTATTTTCCATCTGTTTATGAGCCTTCATCTCAAAATTTAATCAATGAAGAAGACTGGTGCCCTGCTTGGGGTGATTTTCAGTTCCCTGTAATAAGTGCCGAAATGATTGACTCTGCTATCAAGAAACTAAAGCCTAAGAAGTCTACTGGGAGTGACTATATACCAGCTTACATATACAAGAGAATTTTAAGCATAACCTCTGTCGCATATATTCAAAATATCCATTAAAAACAACATTTTTTTAGACTGAATCATACGGAAAGCAGAATGTTTAAGGATCAGCATGGCTTTATCAGTGACAAATTTACTGTCGCAAACCTGTTGGCTTTCACAAATAATGTATCATCTGCCAATAATGATAAGAAACAGTTGAATATAGTGGATACGGATTGTACTAAGGCATTCGACAAAGTAGACTATCAGATATTGCTGGAGGAAGCTTATTGAATTTGGCTTTTCAAAAAGTGCCGATTTTTGAAAGATAAACGAGGTGGTCTTGAAGTGATGTGCTGTACACACTGATATCGTCCATGTAGGTACACTAAGCAATTTTCTCCTTGGAAGCCTTTTAAAACATTATCCACTACCTTCTGGAACGTAGCTGGAGCGTTTTCCAGGCCAAACGGTATTCGAACATACTCGTAATGGCCATTTTTGATACTGAAAGCAGTTTTGCATATATCTTCGTTAGCCATTTCGATTTGGTGAAAACCACTTTTCAAGGTCGTGAAGTACTGGCATCTACCCAGTTTGTCCAAGATGTCTGTTATGTTTGGAATTGGGTATTTATCGTCGATATTTTTCTCGTTTACTTTCCTATATCCTTTTTTTTCCGGAGAAGTCTGGTTTTTTTTATCGAGAAAGGCCAAGGCTTGGTCTGATAATTGCTTGATCCAATATGGAAGATATATGGTTTTTCACTTCCTCTTTATGGATATGTGGATATCATACTTAACTAATAGAACGCAATCTGTAAAAGTTGGTGATTGCGTCTCAGAACATTTCACATCAACATCTCTTATTCCCTAAGGTAGCAATCTGGGTCCTACATGATTTACCATATTTATAAATAGTTTACCTAGTGTCATTGAATATTCTGATAGGTTGCTCTTTGCCGATAAATTTAAAATTTTTAAAACTGTATACTAAGCAATTTTCTCTTTGGAGGTCTTTTAAAACGTTATCCACTACCCTCTGGAACGTAGCTGGAGCGTTTTTTACGCCAAACGGTATTCATACATACTCGTAATGGCCATTTTTGACATTGGAAGCAGTTTTGCATATATCTTTGTTAGCCATTTCGATTTTGTGAAAACCACTTGTCAAGGTTGTGAAGTACTGGCATCTACCCAGTTTGTCCAATATGTCTGTTATGTTTGGAATTGGGTATTTATCGTCGATAGTTTTCTTGTTTACTTTCCTATATCCATTATTATCCACCATTTTATTTTTCCAGTGGCGTCTGGTTTTTTTGGAACTATATCCATATCGGGGAAGACCAAGGTGGCTGGCTTGGTCTGATAATTGCTTGATCCAATATGGAAGATATATGGTTTTTCACTTCCTCTTTATAGATATGTGGATATCATATTTAACTAATAGAACGCAATCTGTAAAAGTTGATGATTGCATTTCAGAACATTTCACATCAACATCTGGTGTTCCCCAAGGTAGTAATCTGGGTCCTACATGATTTACCAAATTTATAACTAGTATACCTAGTGTCATTGAATATTCTGATAGTTTGCCGATAATTTTAAAATTTTTAAAACTGTATACTAAGCAATTTTCTCCTTAGAGGCCTTTTAAAACGTTATCCGCTACCCTTTGGAACGTGGCTGGAGGGTTTTTTAGGCCAAACGGTATTCAGACACACTCGCAATGGCCATTCGACATTGAAAGCAATTTTGCATATATCTTCGTTAGCCATTTCGATTTGTTGAAAACCTCTTTTCAAGGTCGAGAAGTACTGGCATCTTCCCAGTTTGTCCAAAATGTCTGTTATGTTTGGAATTGGGTATTTATCGTCGATAATTTTCTCGTTCACTTTCCTATATCCATTAATATCCGCCATTTTATTTTTCCAAAGGCGTCTAGTCGGGAAAGACCAAGGTGATAGGCTTATTCTGATAATTGCTTGATCCAACATGGAAAATATTTGGTTTTTCATTTCCTCTTTATGGATATGTAGATATTATCATACTCAACTAATAAAACGCAATCTGTAAAAGTTGGTGATTGCATCTCAGAATATTTCACAGTACATCTGGTGTTCCCCAAGGTAGCAATCTAAGTCCTACATGATTTACCATATTTATAAATAGTTTACCTGGTGTCATTGAATATTCTGATAGTTTGCTCTTTGCCGATAATTTTAAAATTTTTAAAACTTTATATTAAGCAATTTTTTCCTTAGAGGTCTTTTAAAACGTTATCCACTACCCTCTGGGACGTAGCTGGAGCGTTTTTTAGGCCAAACGGTATTCAGACATGATAATTGCTTGATTAGTTCAATTCCATTCCTGAGCCTGAGATCCACTTGCGGCTTATTTTGTTCCATAAAAAGACCCCGCTCAATAAATCCTGAAAGTTTGAAGTCTCTCTGATTGCTTGAAGTATTTTTAAGAAGCTTCCAAAGGTGATTTAATAGAAATTTCACATGATTTTTTTGCATCTAAGTAAGAAAAATAACAAAATATAAAGGGTGTTTTATCGAAAATAAGGCAGTATTTTTATTTCAAAAAATTGCATGTTTGTAAAACCAAATTTCAACAAACTTTAGGAAATACTGTAGAAAAAATTCTTATCTAAAACAACACTCTGTATATGCATCTAGTTGTACACTGCTAGAGTGTGACAATATTGAAAATTAAATTCCTAATAAACATTTTCTTATTCCAGTGCATATATTCAGTGGGAAGAAACTTTCTAAATCAAGCTTTACTTGACGGTAAGTCTTATTTACTTCATAATATTCATGCATTATAAAATTGAATTTTTCAGCCGCCCAAAAATATACAAACCTGAAAATGTTTTTCAATCACAAAGTGGTCGATGTGGACTTTAACAAGTCGACTATTGAAGTCACAAAGTGAATATTTTTGAAACCTAATAATTGGTAACATTTCTAATGATTTAAATTATTTTTAGTTGTATGACAAATGACAGCATTATAACCTCGGCTGATTTTATTATTGGTGCAGATGGGGCTTTTTCAGTGCTGAGAGGCTTCATGCAAAAAATGCCTCGTTTTAATTTTTCCCAAGATTTCATAGATCATGGATACTTGGAGCTGTGCGTACCAGCAAAAAGAGGGGACCAATTACGACCGAATCATCTTCATATATGGCCCAGAGGTAACAATCAATGAAAAATAATAAATTTTGCACGCGATTCGATAGTTATGGCACGCGAATCAAAAGGTGTTTCCCCCTGTTACAAATTAGCTTAAATTGGGGCGCGCCTTTTTTTTTTAGGTCAATTTATGATGATAGCCTTACCGAACCAAGACAATTCTTGGACAGTTACTTTGTTTATGCCTTTTGAAAAATTTGCGGCAATCGACGATAGAAGGAAACTGATTGAGTTTTTTGAAAGCACGTTTCCTGACGCCTTACCATTGATTGGGGAACAAGAACTGGAGAGTATGTATTTTAAGAATGCACCATCAGCTTTGGTTTCGATTAAATGTGGCCAATATGACATGGGAAATAGGTTTTTGATTATTGGAGATGCTGCACATGCTATGGTACCATTTTATGGTCAAGGTAATGTAATTTGATAATGTTATTATGGTTCTGTATATAGTTTTTGTTACTAGTATCATATTGTTGTAACGGTTTTAGTTTTCCGGGACTCAAACTTTAGTCAGAGCGGACAGATAGTTTTTTTTTTCTGACTGGGAAATCAATTTTCTGATTAAAAATACATACTGCATCAGGGCATAGAAAAATTAATTAATTAATTCATTAACTAATTAACTAAATTTGTCTAATAGAAAAGAAAATATATATGAGCCTACTCTGATTGGAATAGAGGAGATAATTAAAGCTCAAATAAGGAAAATAGATAGGTACTCAATTATTCATGTAATCGTATAAAATAGGTACCAAGGCCGAACGAAATAAATTACTATAGTACCAAAATAGTTGTTGAACGCAAATATTTCAAGCACCAATTTTTTTTTTTGAGGAAACCCGAATTTTTAATTCCTCAGTTCGAGTATCGCTTTCTGCAGTGCTGCATCTGAAGTGTTCTCGAGGCATTTTTTTTTTTTTGCCGATCTATTTTGTGGAATTGTGCCCTAATTGGTTTTGGGTGGCTAACGCCTTTTCGTATAGCATCCTGAGCAAAAAAAATTGCTGATTTTGACCAAGCTTTTTGGGCATAAAGCCAAAAGGATTCCTCAAATTCCTCGATAGGAAATTATCACAAAATGGCCGCCTGATATCTCTGGTAAGTGTCATTGTTCTTTATCAGGTGGAATGAAAGATATCATCCACAATTCCATTTCAGGCCATTTTATTCTTCCCATTCTTTGTCTCTACCCCCAACCCCCATTGTTGTTCAACTCTCTTCGGTTGGCTACCTCAATCTATTTCCTGAAGACCGGAAAAAGAAAGAAAAGAAAGAAAATACGAAACTGCACGGATTCGCTGGCTTGGAGTTTGTTCCAAGTATTCACCATTGGCTCAATCGTGACTTACGCCCAGAACTTACAACTGGACATTTAGGTGAGTTCGTTCCATTTGTTCCAGTTGAGGTTCCAGTTTGTTCCCGAGTCACGATATACCTAAGGGAAAAATACCCCATGAAAACAAAAATTTAGGAGTTAACGGACACTTATTTGTTTTAATTAATTTGTACTGTTTGGTATACTTAAGAGGCCAACAACAAGCCGTTAAAAATTGAGAAAAAGGGTTAATTTCCTGAGACGAGAACTCACTTATTTTGTAATATTTTTTGACCGGATTAGAAAATAATAAAAGATAAAAATCTATAGAATAATGCTGTTGTTTTAGTTTTTCGAAAAAAAAATTGCAAATTGAAAATATCACGACCTAAATACTCGAAAAGCATCATTTCTATCGCTCGGTACATCCAAACCCATCGCTTTTTTAAAAAAAATGAAACAAGAGCATTGTTCTAAATTTTATTATCTTTTCGAATCTTCTTGATTCACTCAAAAATATTAAGTAGTTTTTGAGATTTCGTCTCAAATTGTAAGCCCTGCAAACACGGAAATTCAAAAATTTTGGCTGCAGCGACGTGCTGCCTCTGGCGGATTTAATTTCGCACCGGGGGTAAGTAAAAATTACACGACGCGAGAGGACTGCAAGGCCAGTTATTAGTTTGTGTAAATAATTATGGTGAATATATTTCATAATGAACTCAAAACGAACAAAGATAAGTTTACTAGAATTCAATAAACGAAAGAGGATATCATATAGCATAGTTAAATACAGTTAGTACGTGAAGGTTAGGAATAAAATCCATCAAAAATACAAGGTTGATTTTTTTTTCAAAAAATCTCGGATACGTCGATTTTTGATTTTAGTGGCCGTTTTTTTGATAAGAATTTCATACATTTGTCAAAACTGATATACCAACAATAAACTGACATGTTTTGATTGTTGATTTGAACCAATCAGATTGGAATTACGTGATAATTTATATTAGTGTAAATTATTGCATAGTAACTAATGCGAGCACTGGTGTTTTGACAAAAAATTTGAATTTTTGATTCATGAAATTTTCTCATAAAATACAGTGTATCCACTTAAGTTCGCAGCACATGGGAAACTTTTTTATTATCAATTTTACGAAAAAAAGTTATCCTTTATAAGAGTTTCTGCTTCTTGAAAAAATAATATCAAACTATGTATTAAAAGTTGAAATAGCATGTACAGGGTGGTCAAAAAATAGAAAAATATACAGGGTATTTCCTAAGTACGGTCCGTAACTTCAGGATGTCATTCCTTACGATATTTTAACAAAAAAAGTTCCCATAAATATGTGACCAGAAATGCGTAGTTTCTGAGATACAGGGTGTCAAAGTTTTAGAAAAAATCGTTTTTTCAGCTCAAAAATTTTTCCATTTTTTTTTTTTTTTTAAATTTGGCAGGTTGATTTGTGATAACGAAAGGTTTCTTTTGACTGAAATATGACTTGCTTAATCTGAAAAAAATATCAAAGGTTTAAAAAAATAGTGATGTGCCATTTTTTTTCTACTTTTACCAAAAAACCCTGCATATTTTCCTATTTTTTAATCCCCCTGTACCGGGTGTTTTTTTATCTTCGATATCATTCTGATCACCTGTAACTTTTTTGTTTTTGAAGTTATCAAGGTAAACAAAAAAACAAAATGTAGGGTTAGTAGCCAAGTTTTTTTTCAAATTACACGTAAAACAAAACACTATCAACTTTTTGACATATAAGCCTACATTATATTTTTTCAAATGGAACACCCTGTATATTATATATGTGTTCGATATAATATCTTATTCTGATTACAATGATATAGCACACTTCATATTTTGGTCCACTCGTTTTTGACAAATCGGCAAAAATATGAAACTTTCGAAGTGAAACTTATTAGGCGGCGCGGTCTGATATTTGGGACGAAAATTATTGAGAGCATATAAAAATTTCATATATTTTTGCCGATTTGTCAAAAACGAGTGGAACAAAATATGAAGTGTGTTATATCATTGTAATCAGAATAATATGCTCTAACGTACACACATATAATATACCGGGTGTTCCATTTAAAAATAGTTTATTAAAATACAAGCTTCATAAGACGTGATTTTATCGCATGAGCCCTATATTAGAAAACGAGCCGGAGGCGAGATTTTTAAAGGACGAGTGCGATAAAATGTCTTATGAAACGAATATTTTATACTATTTTTTCTATTCTGGTATTGTTTAATTAAAAAAAAACAAATTTTTCTTGGAAATTTTATTCTCATATTTCCTGATTTCATGTTTAGGTTGGTAACATTACATGCCAAATATAGAATTAAGGGCGGGTATTATAAAACTACTTTGAGAGTTAACTTAAAGTTAATTTTTGAAATTACATGTAATTCAAAAAGTTAACTTTAAGTTAACTGTCAAAGCAGTTTTATAATACTCGCCCTAAATCTTCTATAAAATCGAGAATGACAGTGCGATGGCCATCAGTCAGCCAGTGTTACCAACTTCCGATAAGTGAAAAAGGAGTGTCACAAAGAGCTTCTTTTCGAAACTACTTTTAGTGTCGAAAAGACTTCGATATGAAACCAAAATAAAAAAAATATAATGTAGGCTTATATGTCGAAAAATTGATAGTGTTTTGATGTTTTGTTTCAGGTGTAACTTGAAAAAAAACTTGGCTATTAATCCTACATTTTGTTTTTTTGTTTACCTTGATATCTTTGAAAACAAAAAAGTTACAGGTGATCAAAATGATATCAAAGATAAAAGTACACCCGGTACATGCTATTCTAAGTTTTAATAGTTTAATACTATATATTTTTTCAAGAAGCAGAAACTTTCATAAACAATAACTTTTTTTTGTAAAATTGATAATAAAAAAGTTTCCCATATGTTGCGAACTGAAGCGGAAACACTGTACAGGGTGGCCCGTTTAAGAGGGGCCTATACCTTATCTCGAAATCTACAAGGGTTGCAAAAAAAAATTAAATACAAAAGTTGTTTCTAATAAAATTATCTACATTTTTTTTTCATTGTTTTTGTTGTTACTGTACTATATACAGGGTGGAGAGATAAAGTTTAATTTTTTTAAATGGAACACCCTATATCGTAATACACTTTTACATAACCCTTTGAAAGACAAATCCAACGATATACTGGACATGTGTCTGTGATAAACCGTTTCGAACTTATTAGCGATTATCTTCAGGGATTCAGGGTAATTTTGAACAGGCATTGTTACTAATTAGGTAACGGCCCAATTAAGGACCGATTGAGAAGTGTTTTATCTCTGCAAGACCATCCGTGGACGCGTTTCGCTGTACCACAGCTCATCAGCACGGTTTAGGTCCCGCAGAGAGAAAACACAACCCATTTTTGGTTCCATCCCGGAACTGGGTTTAATACAAGTAAAATGAAGACAGGGTCTCCATCTATTTTCTGATCGGCACACTAAAAATTGCTACTAACAACCGTATAAACCAGTATTAAATTAGAGCAAATCGACTCGCAAAGGCATTCGCCACAATTGCGAGAATAGCTATTCTAGTTGCCAACCAGAAGTAAAGTCGGTTGGTACCGAAAAACATTGATATTAATTAGGTAACGGCCCAATTAAGGACCGATTGAGAAGTTACTTGTATTAAACCCAGTTCCGGGATGGAACCAAAAATGGGTTGTGTTTTCTCTCTGCGGGACCTAAACCGTGCTGATGAGCTGTGATACAGCGAAACGCGTCCACGGATGGTCTTGCAGAGATAAAACACTTCTCAATCGGTCCTTAATTGGGCCGTTACCTAATTAATATCAATGTTTTTCGGTACCAACCGACTTTACTTCTGGTTGGCAACTAGAATAGCTATTCTCGCAATTGTGGCGAATGCCTTTGCGAGTCGATTTGCTCTAATTTAATACTGGTTTATACGGTTGTTACCGTGCGTTCGTTATTTTGGTCTGAGTTCTCTGAGCTTGACTTTACCGTTCGTTTATTTAAAAAGTGTACTCGGTGCAGCCTCATTCGCGTTCGTTTATTAAAATTTCCGGTACTTTTATACGGCGTTCAACTGCTCCGTTCGCTCGCTGGTCACGTGATTACGGCTCCGCTCAGCTCGCTCTACACTTTGAGCAAAATACCGAACGCAAGGTTAGTAGCAATTTTTAGTGTGCCGATCAGAAAATAGATGGAGACCCTGTCTTCATTTTACAGGCATTGTTACGTTACTCATAAACTTTTGAAACTTTTTTTTTGCGTGATATTTTTTATAAAATGATGCTCTTTTTTAGACTATACTGAAATTTAGCAAAATGTTACGCTTTTCAATTTTTTTTAAATGGGACATCCTGTAAATTTTCGAACTTTTGGATAGCCTTTTAAAATACAAATTCAACGATATACTGGACATGGGTCTGTGATGCACCCATTTTGGCCTGATTGGCGATTATCTTCAGTTCTAGCACAATATTTCATGTCATCCCTGATGAATAAAAAACAATGTCCAATTTTGCATTAGATTAGATGAAATAGTGCTTTTTATTATTATTATTTATTCAAAAAGTAGTCAAAGTTTCTCCCCATTATTAAAATAAAAAAGGCGAGAAATTTGGATAAAAACAAAAAATGAAACGTGACGCTCTGTTGCTATATTTGTCAGATCAACCTAATTACGTGTTAAATGCGATAACACATTTACAAGTAAGATATATTACCTGTATTGTTGAAAATGGCGGACACAGAGAATTTAATTAAATTAATTTTATAGTTAGCCTGAAGTTGAAGTTCTCAAAATGTTTGTTCATATAATCTTAATCAGTAACCTTTATTTTGGACTTTATAATTCAATGCTTTCCTTGTTTACTGCAACTATAGTTTATTGCAGTAGGTATTATTAAATAATTTGCGAAATATTTTTTTATTATCATTTGTTCAAATAGTAGTCAAAGTTTCTCCCCATTATTAAGACGAGAAACTAATGAAAACAAAAACTTAAACGTCTTTTCTTAACTACTTCTGAATGAATAATAATAATAAAGAGCACTATTTCAGCTAATCTACTGCAAAATTAGACATTTTCTTTATTCAACAGGGATGACATAAAATATGGTGCTAGAACTGAAGATAATCGCCAATAAGGCCGAAACGGTGCATCACAAACCCATTTCCAGTATATCGTTGAATTTGTATTTTAAAGGGCTATCCAAAAATTCGAAAATTTACAGGAGGTCCCATTTAAAAAAATTGAAAAGCGTAACATTTTGCGAAACGTGGCAACACGGCGTTTTTTGAACAAATATTCCAAATTTCAAAATAGTCTAAAGAAGAGCATTATTTTATGAAAAATAGCATGCAAAAAAAAGTTTTAAAAGTTTATGAGTAACGTAATAATGCCTGTTTGAAATTACCCCAGATCCTGAAGATTATCGCTAATAAGTTCGAAACGGTTTATCACAGACACATGTCAAGTATATCGTTGGATTTGTCTTTCAAAGGGCTATATGAAAGTGTTTTGAAATATATAGGGTGTTTCATTAAAAAAAATTAAATTTTATCTCTCCACCCTGTATATAGTAGAGTAACAACAAAAACAATGCAAAAAAAATTTAGATAATTTTATTAGAAACAACTTTTGTATTTAATTTTTTTTGCAGCCCTCGTAGATTTCGAGATAAGGTATAGGCCCCTCTTAAACGGGCCACCCTGTACAACTCGTGCAATGGAAATATATTTTCAATTTTTGACAAATTTGCACTCATGCGTTTTTGACAGAAATGGGCACTGAAAAAGCACTGGTGCTCCTTTTTAACTAAAAATGCATCCGGGCAAATTTCCCAAAAATTATCGACAATTTCCATTGCATTCGACATTTAGAATTTCATACATCTGTCAAAACTGACATTCCAACAATAAACTGACATATTTTGATTGTTGATTTACGTTTTATGCGTGTATCAAACGTCAAATTATTGAAGCAATGTCAAAAAAGAGCGAATCTCGCGCAAGTGAGAATTAGGCTTCACGCGATAATTGGCGCGACACTGGTGTTTTAACATTTTTTGACAAAAAATTTAAATTTTTGATTCATGAAATTCTCTCATAAAAGCTCTTTTCGGGTTCGAAAACAGGACGGTTCTAGAACGATTCAAAACAATCGCACAGTTCATCAATCAACTAAATGACAACGGTTCAGCTATCACAAACTTCAATAATAAACTGTGCGATTGTTTTGAACCGTTCTAGAACCGTCCTTTTTTCAAACCCAAAAATAGCTAAAATACAACTCAAGCAATGGAATTTTTAATCTTGGATTAATTTCCAAGCTGGTGTCAAATGATAGTTCATGGAAAACTCAGATAAGAATGTATGATCGGTTTAGCTCTAAAATCAACCGTTGAGGTTTTAAAGCCTGTCAAAGTTGCAAAAAAGTTAATTTTCAACTCTTATTATTTCCGAAACAGTTGAAGATAGGTATAGGATATGATACATTAAATAAGTTCAGAATGTAACGTAGAAATAAGAAATGAAATTAAAAAAAATCCTGTACAGTTCACACCCGGTAGAAGTGAAAACTTCATCGAACTGCATGCATTACACACATACTAACATACACAGTGGCGTCCCCCCCTCCAAAAGACTTGAGAAAGAACGCAAATAAATATAGTTTGAAAAAACTAAAATACACGCTGGGGTGCTTTGTTCCACATTTTTCATACATTGAGCACCCCACGCTTTTTTGACAATAATTCTAATATTTTTTGTTCATTAATATTTTCTGTTTCTATTAAAAATTATTTTTCACTTTTTAGTTCAATTTACTATAAAAGCGTGTTTTTTAGTTTTTTTAAAATACATTTATTTTTCACTTTTTAGTTCGATGTATTATAATAGCGTGTCAGCCCCAGAGATTTCTAGACTTTTCGAGACATTATCCAGACTTATTCAGAGCTTCCCAGAGTTTTCCAGATTCCATCCAGATTTATCCAGACTTGTACAGACTGATCCGGATTCTGGAAAATGATCCCCAGGTCTTTTGGGACCTTTTCCAGAATTTTTCCGACCCCTTCAAGAAATTTCCAGGCCTTTTCCAGACGTTTCCAGAGATTTCCAGACATTATCCAGACTTATCCAGAGTTTTACAGACTTAATCCAGATTTATCCAGACCTTATCCAGACTTGTACAGACTGATCCGGATTCTGGAGAATGATCCCCAGGTCTTTTGGGACCTTTGGCAGACTTTTTCCGACCCTTTCCAGAAATTTCCAGGCTCTTTCCAGACGTTTCCAGAGATTTCCAGACTTTTCCAGACTTCATCCAGATTTATCCAGACATTTTCCAGACTTGTTCCAGCTCACTTGGCTTGTTCCAGGTTCTTGTTGTGTGTTAATATAAGCGTGTTAAAAAAGTGTCATGTCGCTTTTTCGTTTCATCGAGTCTCACATCACTCCCAACGATTCTAAAGAAGTTTTCACTTCAAAATTAATGTTTTGATTTAAAAAAATAAAGTTAGCGGTCACAACTTGTTTCTGGGTCACCCTGTATACATGATATTACCATCAGAAAAACGGCAACTGAAATCAAAAATCGATGTGTCCGAGGTTTTCATGAGCAATCTCACCAATGTTTATTATTTTTCTAGGTTTTCTGGAAGTTCTTTATGTAATAAACGAATAAACATCATCTCTCCCACCCTCGTAACTACGCCACCTCACTTTTTTTTTGTGTAAACATTTCAAGTATCTATTTTGCTGTATTTGTATAGGTAAATTTTATTATCTTTGTAATATATTTTTGTGTTTCCGCACATTTCATTCTCCACATTCTTATTTGTTAAATAAAAAGCACAATGTAAATTATAAAACTATTATTATAACTGTATACTTTTTAATTTAGATTAAATATGATAGGTGTATTAGTTTTGCCTCCACAAAAGCCCATAGGATTTATTATTCACCTTCCATGCAATTTGATCACACCCTTCCGTTATCTCGGAAATATTTGCCGTAACGTCGTCTATCACGGTCCTACTTTGAACTCGGCGACAAAGAATGAATTTCGCGCGCTTGAATTTGTTGTTGGCCTCTTAATCAAAATTGCCATATTGTTTACTTTTCATATTTATAAAACCTATTTGGTACATAACTACCCGATACGTGTAAGCTGGCGCATCGATGCTAAGGTATCTCTAAATCGTTGTTCTATTAATCATCATATTAAGATTTTCTTTCGAATCTACATAATTTCAATTATAAATATTTTTATGTCTATACAATTTTAAGCTACGGAAAATACGTGAAAACTATAGGCTAAAGTGATGCCTTACCCTGTACATACAAAGTGTACCTGAAAGAATTAAATAAACCATATTTTTAATGCTCATAATTCAAAGGCTTCCGTGTTTTAATTTAGCTTGGCATTTGGATAAATTCGCTGTAGGTTTCCCGCTTCAAAGATCTATTAGCTGATCTGCATCTACCTTACTGAAGGGCATTAAAGCGGGTGGCGCTTTGTAAAATTATATTTTGTTTTCCCCACGACCACTCCCGACTAGAGATAGTTAGCTGGCATTTTCAGCCCAAAAAGGTAGATGTTCCTTGTGTTTCTTTTTCTTATACCAAGTGTAAGATTTCCACCCGGACTTTTGCCACACAGTCTAGTAATTTTGAAATCGAATTAATTAACCCCAATTCGACGGTGGCATTATATTTGTCATTATCATTGGTTTTTCATCATTATGAATGTCGTGTATAATTCTTGTGAGTGTCATATACAATTTCTAGGTATGAATGCTGGTTTCGAAGATTGCACCCTCCTAAATGAACTCCTAAACCAAACCCAAGACAATGTCTCGAAAATCATTAAACTTTTCACACAAAAGAGACAAAAAGATGCTTTTGCAATTTGCGATTTGGCCATGTACAATTACATAGAAATGCGGGATTTGGTTACGAAGCCTACGTACAAATTGAGGAAAATTGTTGATGGAACTTTGGCCAAATTGTGGCCAGAGATTTGGGTGCCACTGTACAACTCGGTCAGTTTTAGTCATATGGAATACAGCAAGTGTGTGGAAAATAAGAGCTGGCAAGATGAGGTAAATTTTTGTATTGTACTTATTTATTATTTTTAATAAATTAATTTTTAGGTCTTACTTTACGGAGTTCTCATTACAATAATTATTTTTGCAATTTTAATACTAGTGTTATTTTGAAAATTTTGTATTTAATAAATTATAAACTTTGCCTGAATTATTATTAAATTGTAATTATCCAAAGCAAAATTCTTATAAATAATTATCCTCCTATACTGGGTCTTGACGATAAGCGCAAGTTTTCGCGTGCGCTAAATTTTCCAAATTTCTCCCCGGCATGATAGAAGAGAAGTTTTTCCGAGTTCAGTGCGACGTCGAATGTGCAATCGGAAAGCACTCGGTTGGAATACGCGGTTTTTCCCAACCACTTGTTGTAGAGAACGATTTTTGGAAATCAAACTTGGATTGTTTTGTTTTCTTTGAGGAGAGATTTTGATGGGTGTTTTTTAAAATTTTGATTTGTGGAATAATTAATGTAAGTTTTGTTAGTTTGATTATTTTTAATTCTTTTTGAGTTTTGAGTTTCTTATTGCTTGTTGTCTCTGAATATTTTTTCTAAAGATAAATTGAATCTGGAAAACTTTAAACTTAAGATTTTTCTATGGTTTTCTGCATTTTCCTGATTTTTTTTATTTGATTTATGTTTTTATTCCAGGCTCTTGAATATCTATGACTTTTTTTAATTCTTGAATTCGTAGAATCACCATTTTTGGCCCTGAAAATTTTTAATTATCCGACATTATTTTACAAAATTACCCATAGCTCAATTAAAATTTTATAAATTTTAATAAATATCTACACGTTCTTAATCACAATTAAATCCTTTTCAAGATAAAATAAAATTGAATTATTGATTTCGAAGATATTGAGCCTAAAAGTTGAAACTTTGTCTTAAATTTTAGAAAACATTCAAAGCCGATTATCTCGAAAAAGAAGCCCTAAGGCTCGGTGCTCCAAATAACCTTTTTTGAAGCCCTAGTCAAGATCTATAATTGGAAGAAATTTTATGCCAATAGCTTTTGTGGTTTTTGAAATATGGCTCTTTAAATTATTTGAAACTGTAATTTCCTTGCACACCCCTTAGAAAAATTTCAATTTTGATTTTTTCAAATTTTTCAATTTTTGACTATACCACTCGAAAGAGGGGGTCAAATTTAGTGGAAAAGCATTTTCGTGATTTTTCTTTTTGAGGTTTTAAGGCCTGTGAAAAATTGAATATGATTTTTGTATTTTTGGGCCTGAAAAATTTTTGATCATCCGACATTACTTTACAAAAACACTCATTTCTCAATTTCTGTTTCATAAATTCCAATACATATTTATGTATTTTTAATTAGAATTAAATGCTCTTCAAGATAAAAAAAAATTGAATCACTTATCTCTAAAAGCTTCTGAGATATTGAGCCTCAAAGTTGAAACTTTGCCTTAAATTTTAGAAAACATTCAAAGCCGATTATCTCGAAAATGAAGCCCTAGGGCTCGGTGCCCCAAATAACCTTTTTTGAAGCCTTAGTCGAGATCTATAATTGGGAGAAATTTTATGCCAATAGCTTTTGTGGTTCCAAAAATATGGCTCTTTAAATTATTTGAAACTGTAATTTCCTTGCATGCCCCTTGGAAAAATTTCAATTTTGATTTTTTCAAATTTTCCAATTTTTGACTTTACCAATCAAAAGAGGGGGTCAAATTTAGGGGAAAAGCATTCTCGTGATCTTTCTTTTTGAGGTTTTAGGACCTGTGAAAAATTAAATATGATTTCTGTACTTTTTGGCATGAAAAATTTGATCATTCGACATTATCTTACAAAATCACTCATTTCTCAATTATTATCTCATAAATTTTAATACATATTTATGTATTTTTAATCAGAATTAAATGCTCTTTAAGATAAAAAAAAATTAAATCATTTATCTCCAATAGTTTCTCAGATATTGAGCCTCAAAGTTAAAACTTTGTCTTAAATTTTAGAAAACATTCAGAGCCGATTATCTCGAAAATGAAGTCCTAGGGCTCCGTGCCCCAAATAACCTTTTTTGAAGCCCCAGTCGAGATCTATAATTGGAAGAAATTTTATGCCAATAGCTTTTGTGGTTCCAAAAATATGGCTCTTTAAATTATTTGAAACTGTAATTTCCTTGCATGCCCCTTGGAAAAATTTCAATTTTGATTTTTTCAACTTTTCCAATTTTTGACTTTACCAATCAAAAGAGGGGGTCAAATTTAGGGGAAAAGCATTCTCGTGATCTTTCTTTTTGAGGTTTTAGGACCTGTGAAAAATTAAATATGATTTCTGTACTTTTTGGCATGAAAAATTTGATCATTCGACATTATCTTACAAAATCACTCATTTCTTAATTTTTATCTCATAAATTTTAATACATATTTATGTATTTTTAATCAGAATTAAATGCTCTTTGAGATAAAAAAAAAATTAAATCATTTATCTCCAATAGTTTCTCAGATATTGAGCCTCAAAGTTAAAACTTTGTCTTAAATTTTAGAAAACATTCAGAGCCGATTATCTCGAAAATGAAGCCCTAGGGCTCGGTACCCTAAATAACCTTTTTTGAAGTCCCAATCAAGATCTACAATTGGAAGAAATTTTATGCCAATAGCTTTTGTGATTCCCAAAATATGGTTCTTTAAATTATTTGAAACTGTAATTTCCTTGCATACATACCCCTTAGAAAAATTTCAATTTTGATTTTTTCAAATTTTTCAAATTTTGACTTCATCAATCGAAAGAGGGAATCAAATTTAGTGGAAAAGCATTCTCGTGATTTTTCTTGTTGAAGTTGTAGGGCCTGTGAAAAATTAAATATGATTTTTCTATTTTTTATTGGCATGAAAAATTTTGATCATCCGACATTACCTTACAAAATCAATCATTTCTCAGTTAATATTCCATAAATTCTGATGAATATTTATATATTCTTAATTAGAATTAAATTTTCTTTCAGATAAAAAAAATTGAATCACTTATCCCAATAGTTTTTAAGATATTGAGCCTCAAAGTTGAAACTTTGTCTCAAATTCTAGAAAACATTCAAAGCCGATTATCTCGAAAACGAAGCCCTGGGGCTCGGTGCTCCAAATAACCTTTTTTGAAGCCCCAGTCGAGATCTATAATTGGAAGAAATTTTATGCCAATAGCTTTTGTGGTTTCAAAAATATAGCTCTTTAAATTATTTGAAACTGTAATTTCCTTGCATACCCCTTAGAAAAATTTCAATTTTGATTTTTTCAAATTTTTCAATTTTTGACTATACCACTCGAAAGAGGGGGCCAAATTTAGTGGAAAAACATTGTCGTGATTTTTCTTGTTGAAGTTGTAGGGCCTGTGAAAAATTAAATATGATTTTTGTATTTTTTGACCTGAAAAATTTTGATCATCCGACATTACTTTACAAAATTGCTCATTTCTCAATTAATATTTCACAAATTTCATTGCAAATTTATGTATTCTTGATCAAAATTAAATGCTCTTTAAGATAAAATAAAATAAAATAATTTATCTCAAATACTCTTCGAGATATTGAGCCTCAAAGTTAAATCTTTGTTTCAAATTTTGGAAAACAGTTAAAGCCGATTATCTCGAAAACGAAGCCCTAGAGCTCAAAACTCCAAATAAGCTTTTTTGATGTCCTGATCGAGATCTACTAATGTGTCAATAGATTTTGTGGTTTCTAAAATATGGCTCTTTAAATTATTTGAAACTGTAATTTCCTTGCCTTTGATTTTTCCAAATTTTTCAATTTTTGACTTCACCTATGGAGAGAGGAGGTCAAATTTAGTGGAAAAGCTTTTTTTTTTTGATTTTTCCCCCTCAACCTTTCCATGTTAGTATGAATTCATCAATCCCATGTACAGATTTAAATAATCATATAGTTTTGTATATTTTCGTATGGTTCTTCTTAATTTTATAATCTATGAGAAATAGAAGATTCTACGATTTCATTTGGATTCCCAATATAAAAAAATCAAGAGAGTTGCAGTCTGGAGAATAAAGAGGCAATTCGATAGAACTCATATTTTTTATCCAGTGTTTAAGAAATTTCCCAAAATCAATTAGTTTTATGGAATATCTAAATAATGAAATTTATTTTTAACCCAAAATACTTAAATCCTGAGAATAAATAATGTGGGATTTGTTCTTTTCCGAAATTTTCACCAGTAAAAAGTGATACTTTTCAATTCAACTATAGATTATTATGAAAGCTGTAAAGTTTTCTTGGAAAAAAAACTGAGAAAAAAAAAACAAGGAAAATAGTGATAAAAAAAGGACAATGAAAGCTTAGAAATATCAGTAAACATTTTTTCCCCCAGAGTACCGATCTCGAACGAAGCGGAATAAATGCTTAGAAAAATTCTGATATTTCAAATGATATGCCAAGATTTTCCAAACCTCTCTTTATATTGATGTTCTTCTTGCAGGCCTTTATTCGAAGTATAAAAAGCCAATCCTTTTAAGAAAAATAATCATAATCTACTTAATTTATCAAAATCCATAATACTCGTGTGCAAAATCTGGCCAAAAGCCAAATATATTGTAATGAGGAGAACAGATAATAATGAAAAATCGATGAAATAAAACTAAAAAAGAAATAGTATATAGGTGAGTTTCCAAGTTTTCCTTTTTTGTTTAGGTATCAGTTAGAATTGAGTAGGTAATTATTATGAAAGTTGAAATAATACAACGAATCGTTGATTCAATTTTTCTGGATCCATTTTATCCAAATTTTGTTATTCAAATAGATACGATAAAAGGTCATTAATGTCACCTTTCTCAATACATTTACCGAACCGTAATCAATCACCCGTGCCCATATATCATTTCCAGTCACAAAGCACCATATGGAAATTCAACAAAGCAATTTAAGAAACATTTTTGTAAAACTACTTCCGCTATTGCTTCGTGAGCGCCCACAAAAGAAATTGTTTTGGGACCTCTACACTTTAGATTTTTGTTGCTTGAACGAAGATTTTACCTGATAGAAAAGTTCAATTTTATATCGTTTCAAAGCACTCGGATAATTTAATTCGTTTACTTAAAAATTGCATCGGAGTTGGAGTGTATTTTTAAGATCAGTTTCACAATTGGTGGTCAAACTTATGGTTGA